TAGTACCACAAAAACTTAAGAATTCGACTAGGCGCCTTTGACATTCGGTTTGAACTCATGGAAAAACAAAGAATAAAAGTTAATGTTTACAAAACTTAGTGATTGTCTGGCGCTCGAGTTTGGGAAGCACGTAAAACCAATTCCCAGATTCGAAGTCGTGAGAAGTAATATGGACAAATAATTTAGTATATTCGTGTTCCACGGATTTTTTCAACAATTTTAGAAAACGATTAAATTGAAAAAAACAAAAGTAGGAAATTTAGATTATACGAAATTTCGAAATACGTGTCCTTTGAATTAAATTCAGTTGAATATTATTTGAAAAATTTTATTTAGTTAGTCTAGCAATTCTCCATTAATAAATCACTTATTGAAATTTTGAAGTTGAATAGGTAATGAACCGAAATGGATAGTTCTCATTAATCTGATCCTCCGTAAAATGAGAACGATGATGAATAATTAATTTGTTCCAAATGAAAAAAAAAACTGAGAGGAAGTATAATGAAAAGGCATCAATGATGTGATGACTGCAATCTGATTGGTTAAAATGAGAATGAAGAAAAAAAATTTCGTCCATTCTAAAAAAATTTTTCTTCTGGCATGAAGCCAAATTAATAGTATTTTGTAATCTTATGTAAAATTTGATTAGATTGTAGATGGAGGGTCAAAGTTTCTGATTTATGGAATCTTTGAATGCAATAGTGAAGATCATGAATGAGGAGAAAATATATGGAATTTCAGTGAAAAAGCATCAGAACTCCGGGAATAATTTGGCCAAACAAATAATTAAAACTTTTTACAGAGAAGTAAAGAGCAAGGAAGGCGAATACAAAAAATTATTCACAAAAGATCATTGTGTCGAATTCTGTAGAGAATTCCACCATAAATTATAACTAGAATTGAGAGTCGAATGTTAGTCACTAACCACACATATTCGGAATTGGGAAATCGGTCATTGATAAATTTTCAAATTAAACAAATGGTCAAATGACATGCATCTATGTCATTAATCATAACATTCAGCATCATAACAACGGTGATGAATAATTAATTCTGCAGAAAAAAGGACGGAAATGGAGAAAGTGAAATAGAAAAAGCATAATAAAAAGGCATCAACGTATATATAACGGAATGCATGCAAAATCAAAATGGCGTCTGCGAGAGTATCGAATTGAAGAAAGTCGAACTCGAAAATGATCGAAAATAATTGGAACAGTCACCGCATAGTGGCACTATAAAAAGGCATCAACGTCCCGGCCGCGGAGCAACCGGGGCGGCGCTAGTAGAATGATGACGATCGGAAAGGGTACGAAATGCAATTTGAAAGTGATTTGTTCCTTGCATTCCCGAGAACTCAATGTTAATTATAGAATTTTATGGGTTAGCAATGAATGTGTCTAACTGTGGACATTAATTTTTGAATACAATTTTGTTTCACGAAATTCAGTATTGTGGCTTGTAGCCATTCTCCAAATGAAGTATATTTAGAGTGCAAAGCTCAGTGACAAAGATTGGTCATTTGTTATCTAAGAAAACCTAGAAATTTTTTTCTGAAGAATTCAACCTACGGAAATAACGCTGAGGAAAAATTACAATTTTTTGCGCAATTTTTCTTAGCGTTATTTAATTTGCACATCAATGTTTGTAAAATAGATGTGAAACCAATTTGTGGTAACATACATTTCTTAAAATTCTTGAAATAAGGCTGCCAGTTATGCACTGTAAAATGTTATTAAACCTTAACGAATTCTTAAGGAAAAAGTGAAGAAAAGTTAGAATAGATTTCTCATCGTGTAGAATGATGCAAAAGAAATTCAACTACTATGAGATGGTTCAAGTTAAAATCAATTGCGTTCAATTTTGAATGCCTCGTATGTCCCTACTGTCGTTTTTGAAAACTGTTGCTACTGAAATTCATAGTCGCTAATATTATATTGGTTTTCAATTTTTGTTGAAAACAATTTTTTTTTTGAAAAAGTAGTAGACACTATTGTTAGTCGTGAAAAATTTCGAAAGAGGTCATAATAATTTCACGGTCGGATAGTCATAAAGACCAAATTCTGCATATGATCGTAACAGTTTTTTTATTGCAATAATGAGGAGTGAGCTGTTAAAACATAATGACATTCAAATAGAGAAATAATACGAGCGGATGTTTGCCCTATTGTTAACAGCCAAATAAGGAAATGGAAAAAAATCATATTTGGATATTTAATTACTGAAACGTAAGCTAAGTTTTCACCGTTACATTTTCCTACAGTGCCTTTCGCCATGATATTTTTCAATTTATCTTTTTTTTTTCAAGAAGATAATTTTCTCTCGATGCATGCAATTACACATGGCTCCTATTCAATATATTGTATTTTAGCTCCAATTAGAATTATATGACTTGCAAATTAACGCTCATTATCTCAACTACGTTATCTGTCGTTGATTGTACCGGAGCTTGCCTTCATTCGATATCAATTTTCTTCAATTCGATTTTTGAGCGGTAGCTATTATGCTCTCCTTTATATATATCCTTTATATATAAAGAAAACCTAGTTGACGCCTTTCCGTTATCTTCTTTCTATTCTACATTCTTAACCCTTGTTCTTCCTTTTTTTTGTCGAAAATTCATCATTCATCAGTGTTCTCATCGTGATGAATGTTAACATTGAAGACAATAACGCAAATCAGTTCAACACTTGTTCCATTTCAATAAATAATTCCCCAATTTTGCATTTCTGTGCTCAATATTTGAGATTTACTTTTCAATTTCCATCGTAGTTCATGTCGTTTTGGCTCGCTTTCAGCCGATTTAGTTAATTTTGAGTTCATGAGTTGATTTTAGTCGGCTTAGTTGATTTTATGGGGGTCTTCTAGTCTAGAAACATGAATTTCAGGTAATTTTTGCAGTGTCATAAAAAATAGGCAATTAATACTTTTACTATTGATTTTTTATTAGTTGTTTATTAACATTACAAGAATACAGAAAAAAAAGTTGAAAATTAAAAAAATTAACAGCTGATGAATCGGGGGCCTCCAAAAATTGACACGTGACCATACCCACGATTTCAACCCTCCTAGCAATCTGAAAACAAAAAAAAAAAGATTATTAATCTACAATAATGTCGCAATGTCTGGAACTATGGAAAAGTGGGAAAACATTTTTTTCATGAAATGGCGACTGTTTGAAGAAAAAACATTTTTGTACCACTTTTTTTTACTCTTTCGAATGTTTTTTAAGCAGTAAAAATCAAACTTTGGAGATGTAGGTAGTTTCAGATATGGACATGTCTATGAAGAAGACTCTAAAAATTTCAGGTAAATCGGTTCAGTAAAACCTGAGAAATCGTGGGTATCGTTTTGAAAAGGACAGTTTCGAGAAAAATGCGTCTAAAGTTCCGCGTAAAATTTTTCACAGTCCAAGTCATGAAATGATATTTTAGACTAACATTTATTCAGACTTTATTTTAGATCTACATTTATTTATTTATTTATTTTTAATCAGCCATTCCTGCTTCATATAGCGGACCTTCCTGCTGGGGTTTACTGAGAAATATAAATTCAGGTAGACAAAGTATCCATAATGTCTTTTGTTCAATTACTGACGGCCGAACCAGTTTGGATGCCGGGTCAGCAAAATACCCATATCTCAGAAAAGAAATGAAATTTTGAGAAATCCTCTTGTAGGAATATTCTTGAATAGTTAAACTTTGAAAATATATGAATAAAAAAATCAATTTTTTCAAATTTCTAGACTAGAAGACCCCCTTAAGGCAATAGGTCTTCATAAGTGCATTTCATTCAATTCATAAATCAAAACTCTTGACGCCTGCGTCAGCGGGTTGGAAAGGATGAGGAACGCACTGCATTACTGGTAATGAAGACAACGGTCGTTCATAGAAATCGCCTAGAATGCAAATTGTCATACGGCTTGACCAATACTTAGGAAGCTTATTATTATGCAATAATTGATTTGTTTTTTGTTTCATTTTGTAGTATAAATGCCACACAGTAACATACATTGTAAATCATAACATTCATTTTATTTTTTAATTTATGATATTACCTTCACTCTCGGAAAAAAACAGCGCCACCATGCGGGGAATTATGGTAACGTTGCAAAATTCATTCCTGCATCTTAAAAATTCAGCAGTATGTAATTAGCCGCAAATTATCAATAATTACAAAAACGAACTCTTACAATCGATAAATCGTTCGCAGGTGATTGTAAAAAAGGTCATAATGTTTAAGAGTAGATAGTTTTTTTATAAAAAATAAAAAACTTATGACCCATGTAGTTAGCCGCATTTTTTTTTCTAATCACTCTTAAATGATTTTTTTTATTGTAATCGTTTGCAATTCGTTTGTAAATACTATATTCATTTGAATCGACGTTTAAGAGTCATTAGTCTGGAAATTATCAGCAATAAACGTGATTGCAAAATTGCGTGCAGGGGATAAGACTTTGCAAATATGACGGCGCATGCGCAACTATTCAGAGGATTTTTCTGTTATACGCTCAAAAATAGATTAATGTCTTTCTCACTTTAATTTTGAAAGATTTCACTACGACTGTCTTTTAATTGAACATTGAGTGACACATCGAAACCATTGTACTGTTTGTAAGTACATTAATAATTATAATAACTTGTTCACTAATGGGTGATATTTGGAGAACAATTATCGTTCGAGTAATCCCTGGTTATTCCCACCCAAGCAGAATATGGGCTGACAGAACCCCATAACATTTGTCATGAGACATTGGTTTAACACTTCTGTTTAACAAAAAAACGTAAGGATTGAATTCAAGGTTTTTGCCCAACCCTAACTGGGTTTATGAAATTCACAGCATAAGCTGTAAGCTTGGGTGGGAATAACCAGGGATTACTCAAACGATAATTGCTCTCCAAATGTCACCCATTAGTGAACAAGTTAGTATAATTATTAATGTACTTACAAAAAGTACAATGGTTTCGATGTGTCACTCAATGTTCAATTAAAAGACAGTCGTAGTGAAATCTTTCAAAATTAAAGTGAGAAAGACATTAATCTATTTTTGAGCGTATAACAGAAAAATCCTCTGAATAGTTGCGCATGCGCCGTCATACTTGCAAAGTCTTATCCCCTCCTCGCAATTTTGCAATCACGTTTATTGCTGATAATTTCCAGACTAATGACTCTTAAACGTTGATTCAAATGAATATAGTATTTACAAACGAATTGCAAACAATTACAATAAAAAAAATCATTTAAGAGTGATTAGAAAAAAAATGCGGCTAACTACATGGGTCATAAGTTTTTTATTTTTTATAAAAAAACTATCCACTCTTAAACATTATGACCTTTTTTACAATCACCTGCGAACGATTTACAATCGATTGTATGAGTTCGTTTTTGTAATTGTTGATAATTTGCGGCTAATTACATACTGCTTAAAAATTCTTTATATTTTATGATTGTCTTGTCTTGTAAAAATAAGCGAGTTCGATATCTCGATAAGTGCAAAAAATTGATTGTCATTCGAGTTTGATTCGACATCGCTCCGAGATCATCGTAGGTTCTTTCTTAAATAATAATAAAGATGATTAATTGAAAAATGAAAAAATTTCAATATTGATAAAATTATAAATTTGGACAATAATCCCAAACAAATATCATTGGTATTTCCAAGTGATTTTTCACAGAAATACACGTGTTGCGGCAGCCACTTGGTATTAATGAAATATAACACCAGAGATTATAGGAGATATTGACAGCTGAAATATCGAGATTGATTGGCTCGGAGGAACCTTTTTTTTCAACGATTCCATTGTTGTTAACAAATTCAACAATTATTAAGCAAATTCGGGAAAAATTATCTCGCAAATGAATACTCAAACGATTGAGAATCGTTTGAAACGTGGAGATTTATTGGTCCCTCGGAACTTTTTTTTTCAACGATATTTTTTCTCAACAAATTCGAGAAAAAATTTCTCGTGAATATATACTCCAACAATTGGGAATCAGCTGAAATGTCGAGATTGATTGTTCCCTAAGGACCTTTTTTTTCAAAGATACAATTTTTCAAATTTGTTAACAAAAAAGGTATAGTTAAAACAAAAAAGTTCCGAGGGACCCATAAATATCGACGTTTGAGAGGATTCCCAATCGTTTGAGTATACATTAGCGAGACAATTTTTCCCCAATTTGTTAAATAATTTTTGCATTGGTTAACAAAAATAGAACCGTTCAAAAAAAAAAAGGTTTTGAGGGACCCATAAATCTCGACGTTTCAGACGATTTCCGATCGTGTGAATATATATTCGCGAGACAATTTTTCCCCAATTTTTTTAATCATTTTTGAATTTGTTAACACAAAAGTTATCGTTAAAAAAAAAGTTCCGAGGGACCCATAAATCTCGACGTTTGAAAGGATTCCCAATCGTTTGAATATACATTTGCGAGACCATTTTTCCCCAATTCGTTTAACAATTTTTCGAATTTGTGAGAGTGAACTCATTTTTCATTCCGTCCATCGGTTGTTTCTTCATCATACCCCCACTCCCTTTTATATCGGATGTTTTCGTACGTCACCGTTTCCTCGAATTATTTACACTCTGGGAGTCGCGATCTGTCTTATCCATACTCCCCGCCTTTGAAAATTATCGACACTCACGGGCTCGCCACCTGTTTTACTTACACGTACGGGCTCTCTGGACGTAGTTCCGTAGCCGCCGCAATGAATCACTTGTCAAAGCCTTTCCATAAGCCTTAGCAATCTCCCTTATAATCTCTGATAACACAAAGCATGAGGCAATCACTAATGAAAACCGCCATTCGTTATTAACTTGTTGAAATTATCATCGAACTAATGAGTCTATGAGAATCACTGATTTCTATATAACTGGACAGACTATGCCTACACCTCTCTACACCGACATTGAGGCAGTACTGTAGGATGAGCAGCGCCTCCGCTAAGAGTCGCTCGAGTACTTCAGTGCCCTTGACTGTGTATCTGCGTCACTCAAGGGATGGTGATGCGGGCAGTAAATGACGCTGGAAAAATGACGCAATAACGATTTAGACTACGTGACACATTCGTTATTTCTGAGAACTGTCCGGGTGACAGAAGTATTTCGTTTCTTCTTGGACAAAAAATTCCCAGATTTTTTATTTCAATAGAATAATTCTCGAATTCGAATTACTTATGTGCTATTAATGACTCTTTTTTTTAATCAAAAATACGATTGGTGGTTGCCGACTGCGTCCTCCTCTACTGTAAGAAGTAGTTGACTTTTCAACATTTAGTTAAATGTACTGAATAAATTCCCATCTTCAAATGTCAAAATTCTATATAATCTTTTCACAATTCAAGTAGAAGAAAATAAACACTTTAAATTTTTTCCAAAAGTTGAAAAATTATCCAGTCATCATGAATAGTATTATATTTTCTCCTTGTCCAGTGAGGAGTTTTCATTATAATCCGCTCAAATTGAAGTGAATAGATAAGTTTATTTCCGAGTTGCGAAAATAAAAAAAAAACCAAGAATATTAATTTCCTGTTCGCTTTTCCTATGCAGATCCCATATCAAAAAATACACTAAAAGTTCTAACGACCCATTTCCTGCTATTTTTGATGATTTGTATCTCTTGGAAATTTACCCAGAAGCTTTCCAACTACCCTGGTAAACATGCTTCTCCCCTTCCACTGACAACTGCGCTGAGCATGCGCACTTAATAGAATTGTAGCTCCCGGACTACTGTTCGGAAGCGTTGATTGACTTTCAAATCACCTCACAAGGAGAATACTCGATAGTCTATCCAGCTATTAGAGATCAATGGTGGGAATATTTTTTGAAAAGGAAAACAGCGCTACTGTTTCGTGACTGTTTTAACCTTCAGAACGCACATGTCACATTTTCTGTGAGTTTCGACTATGCTGAATCGATTGTCGTTCAATTCTTCTTCGAGATGCCATTCGAGTACAATTCGAGACTCTCGATGCTTCTCTTTATATATGAGGAAAGGATGGGATATATTATATCATGATCTTTAATTTCTGTAAAAATAGTTATTTTTAGGCCTAACCGTGCAAAACAGATCATCGCTCCGCACATGCAAAATTGGCAAGTATATGGGGAAGGGTGATATGTTTTCCACAGCCTGAATTTAACAAAATTCATCCAAATGCAGGGCCTGAGGAACGCGCTTTTGAAAAATGAAAATTAATGAAAATGGTGTTCTTCAGGTGCCAGTCTGGAAAAGCTATTATATAATATATAATACGTGAGCAAAATAAGACGGTGACTAAAAACTTTACGTGAGTTTTGTAGTTAAGGATAAAAAAATTCGAACAAAAAATCTGAAAATGGATATGTGTACAGTTTGACAAAATCAGAATATTGCCTTCCGAAAAGTACTTAGTAGTTGACCGAGGGATATGGAGCAGAAAATAATATGGTTAGCGAAGATTTATTTACTTTAGTGAAGTATTCATTCATTCACACGTATAGTTTATATGTGAATACCAAGTTACATGAAAACTGAGACATACTTTAAGTACATGTGGAGCACTCACAATATTCTAGTCGACCCAACGGATGTCCGAGCGTGGGGGAATGTAGTCAGTAATATGTTTTATATTCTTTCCAGGTATGAATTTGGAGGTGGACGTATCGTCTATAATAAATTCAAGTCGGTAGTCTCATACAAAGTGGACCAGCTCCCTCTCTTCGATAAAGCAGCCGTGACCGCCGCCCCAAAAATGTCCATTTACGATTCTCTTGATGAGAGTGTGATTCAAAGCTACATGGAATTTTCTCTTGCCTCTCTCCTCTTTTATTCCATGAAGGAAGGTGCATGCAGCGAACAATCCAGCAGAATGACTGCCATGGACAATGCCAGCAAGAACGCTGGCGAAATGATTGACAAACTTACCCTCACCTTCAATCGTACTCGCCAAGCAGTCATCACTAGGGAGCTGATTGAAATTATCTCAGGCGCTGCGGCGCTGGATTAAAATAACTGAAAGTCATTACATTGTATATTCCAGATATTGCAGTTGCGTAGTCGGGGAATCTACTAACTGAAAAGGAAAATGTTCTTTTGAAATATTAAATAAAACTTAAGTCATTAACTACATCGGTGATTATTAATCATAAATAATGACCATTAACGCTAATCCACGCTTTCACACTCGATATATAAAAAATGTGAATTGAATTAGTGCTGCCTTTTTATTTTGGAGTTAATTGTTCCGGACCAACACCTGAAAATCACTGCTATCTGGATCATCAGAAAAATACCCATGTAACGTTCTGTCAATTTATCAGTTGATGTAAAGTAATGTATTGGTACGAACCGAGGCTTCATAATTAAATAAAGATATAGCCTTAGCTTTTTAGACTGTTAACGGTCTTGAGTTCTGGAGTAAATGGTTAAGAGTTCGGGAAATGTGTGGCTAATGAGCTTCCGGCAAGTGCCCTTAGTTGACCGTTGGAGCAAACTCGTATAGCCCCTCTATACCATCCTTATCAACACATATTTGTTTGATGCAATTAGTCCTGGAAACGTCCCACGGATCTCATCTACATCAGTACACCTACTGCTTAGATGGTGCGAATCTTCTTGTGTAAGTCCGCATTTCCGACATGTGGGATCGCTCCTCCATAAAAAGAAATGGAAAAAAAATCATGTTTTTACATTTAATTACTGAAAGCGCATTTCGTCCTGACCGCAAATTGGGTCTTGTAACGATTGTAATTATGGTATAACACAGGGCGCGGCAACCTGGGCTCATCCGGCTTACGCGGCTCCCGATGTTCGTTAGTAAGAGCTGAGAGAGGGGCCTCATCCACTTAACGAAACTACCTGCTCTAATTCGATTTTTCTCTCTCCTTGAGCCCTGGTTCGACCGATACCGGCAGTGGGCGGTCGTGTGATCGATCGGGAATTTTCAATTTTCCATAAATTTGAAATATAAATATCAATTTTTCGCTCTAAATAGGCACCAATCTCAGGCAAAAAAATGTTTATCAATGCTTTCATGAAGAGTTACCATTGACAATTATTTTGCGTCCAGACCCTATTTGCAGCAATTCAACAAATAAAATAGAACAATTGTCCACAATTCTGAGGTGGAGCGATAATTTTACCAAATAAAGCAAATAATTCGTGGATAAATAGTTGTTGGAAAAATGAATATAAGATAAGATTAAGGGCTGACGATGAGAACAGGGCTGAGAAAGCCTTAGCAGTTACGAATGAGAAATTTCCGATTTTTGGGAATTAATTTACCTCCCTACTCTTCTTCGTTTGTAAAAATTGACCCTCAGTTGACCATCTGCACATATACACTTGGCCCTCAAACTTTGTATTTTTACGTTTCAGACCGCTCTACGCCACTTCCAGGCAAAAGTAAAGAATAGAAAAATCGAACGATTGCAATGTTTCCATTCGGAAGCAATAATTGAATTACTCATTTTTTATTTTATTCATCTACCAGGGTATCAGACATATTGTATAGTGCACTATCATATCATTCTCGTGATTTCTATAGCGCAACAGTGCATAATGTTGGCCAAGGGTAGACAATTAATTACAAATATACTCAGGTTTTTGTATTTCAAATTTCTAATTATTTTCGACAATTTCTAGTCCCAAATGCTATTCTTCCACCGAAATTACAAGTTAAAAGGTAAGTTGCACCAGAGAAATAATGTGAACATTTATTTCCTCATGTTATGAATAAAAGAATTCATTTTTCATTTTGACGTTGCAAAATTTGCAAAATTCAAAATCTAATATGAAAAACTGCAATCGAATTTCCAGGAATATATTCCTAAATGGACAGTGGCATATTTTCATTTTTCACATTTAGAGTTCCAATATTTGAAAGGACATTAATAATTGCCGAAAACCATTTCAGAAATATATTCTGCAATGTTTTTCATTACAAATTGAAATTTTTTAATTTTAGCTTTAAAATTTAAAACTGAAATTTTACGCCAATTCTGGCAGGTCCGCCTTTTTTATTCAACTCGCACTCCACTCTACGTGGCTGACGAGAATATCGTCACCACTGACAGTAGATAGATAGACGGGACTCTGGATCAAAGCTCAAACTCGCCACTAAATGGCGCGAGAATCGAGGGAGATTCTGGAAGGCTGACGTCATTGATGAGCCATGGTTAGATGGCGCTACGATTGCAAACACTGTTAGGGGTTATGTAATCACTGAGTCATCAGCTACCGCAGAGTGAGGGTTTCGTCTAATTCTCCAGATAGTTGTAATTTAGTTTAGTGAAATAATGTTATACAGAACATTCTAGAAATAATTCGTTATTGTGAGGGGAGTGTATCGCAAAGAAACTGTTTAATATTCCACCTATCGGGATCGCGATGAACAACGCAACGAGGGCAGTCTGATCGTGAATGGATTCTTGCAAGAGAATAATTCCAGTCACGACTCACTCATTTTGGTGGTGGGGGTTGCCTATATATCCAGTCCCAACTTACACAATAATAAATAAACGAGTATTCTCGAATGTTCTCGAAAATTCTTCATGAATCATTACATTTATTTAAAGTGGCCGATGGCTGCGCTATATAAGTCATTCGTTTCAAGTGATCTGCAGCCATTTTGAATTTGAGTCCAGTTCATCACAACTCATGATTGTCCTGGAACTTACCGTTATTTCGTTTATCCTAGTTTTACAATGGGGGCAAATCTGCTATTATTCTCACAGATGAAGTGCTTTATAAAAAGAGAAGATGTCATTAACACATTATTTGGGTTGCATCAGTGAACAACATAAAGACATTTGCTGGTATGTGTTGCCACGACCTTTATCATTTGAAAAGTGCAGAGGAGAGCAGCACTGATGAAGTTTTAATAAATGAATATTTTGATGAAAATGCTCGTCAGTTTGCGGGATATCTTACCGCTGATTTGGAATGCTTATGGAGTAATTATGAGACATTGAAAGCTCAGCGACACCCTTAAAGAAAATCTACTTGGTCTCATTGTATAGAGCAGTTTAATGATTTATCACACATCATTGAAAGTATTGATGGACTACAAAAACTAAAAAAATTCTGTGAAAATCTGAGAGAGAAGATAAAGAATGTGGTGGTTGATGATGATTCACCATTGACAATCGACGAGATACAATGGTTGCACTTCGTTCCACCATATTGTCTGCATGCGTGTGGTGTTAAAAACAAACTATTACTTCATGCACCATCTGAACTTCCACCAATTGATCCCTTTATTCATCACATCCGCAAGAACTTCACAGATCAGTGTTCCAGCGTCAACCCTGTTCAAATACCAAAAGTTTCTCCTTGCGCGAATTTATCTCACACGTTGCAGATAAGTCAAGACCATTTACAAACTAAGCACGGGATGATTGAGCTTCTCAGTTTTGAGTATGACATATTCTTGCGTCCTCATAATCATATTGGATTGTGGATTTAGTCTAAAATGGAGAAAATTGCTACACATATGGGTGAACAACGAGAGGAGAGGAAGAAAATCAGTGCCAACCCCAAACGACGAGTACAGTTGATGTTGCATTGAGATTATGCATACCGATCCGCTCATCAAGGTCCATGGGGGCAGTTTACTCGAGACCGTGATCGTTTCAAGAATCGAATAAATTTGTGTGAAAAAATATTTAATCCTGTCTTACTACGCCAATATAGAGAAACTGTTCTTCACACTCGTTTGACATCGATTCTATGGTACTGCTTACAGAAGGATAGTATATATAATTACTAGCGCCGCCCCGGCCGCAAGCGGCCGGGACGTTGACCCCATTAAATGTGTGTATAGTATAGTGTGATGAGGTGACGATGCGCTGTATGGTAGAGATGTCGCTTTCGATTATCGCAGTTGAACGATTATCGATATTCAATGTCAATTCGAGATATCCATGTATTTTTTATATAAGGATAATAATCAAACTAAAATTTTTTTGAAAATCTATTTTAATCATTTGTTTTCAGTTCACATTATTGTATTCATTTAATTTTATACCCCACATCACCTACTGTACCATAACTTGCTGCATTAACTAGATCATTATACGCAGCACTTCAGAAGGTAGTGCAGGATCTGATCCATATGCTATCAGCATTATCATCATCATCATACTTATCATTTCAGAATTTGGTTGTTTACATTAGCTTCTTGACGCCATTTCCGACAGGATTGTATTCAACAATTCGATCATGGAGGATGAGGCAGTAGGTTGATGTATTGGGTGGGAATGGTGAAGCTTACTCGAATTCAATACGAATATCAACGGGGCTACTCTTTAGGTACTCGTTTTGTTGCGAGCAATCGATAACAATCAACGGTGCCTTGTCCAAGAATTCAGATCTATCTAATAACAGCTCCTTGCCGTAAAATGAGTTGGAAGTTCACATACATATTGTACAATGTAGAGTATTGATTATGATTAATATCAAGACTCAAATTTCCACACGGATAACTTTGCGAATTGAAAATAATTTTACCTCGCGGATATTGCAATGATCGAAGTAATTGGCATTAGTCGTTGGAGTTTTACGTGCTGTATGGAAGGATCTATTCAAGGCTATATTCAAGGATCACGTATCGTGGTTTCTGCAATGGATTTGATGTTTCCCCCACCCAAACATGCTTTGGGGCTACAGGAAGCAGAGGATATTCATACAATTACCAAGGTCGGAATGCTATTCCAATAGGCATATTCTTCGCAATAAAATTGAGCAATTTTACCTTGCGTTCATTAGAAATTTTTATATAGGGACTTAACCATTTGATTTGCATTTTTATATAGGGATTTAACCATTCGATTTGCAACTGGAATTGGCCGTTGAAGAACAGCATTAAGATCAGTTTTATATCTTGTGAGGACAAGTTCATGTTTCGCATTTACAATCACCTTTTGATAACCCTCAGTACAACCAGGGATTAAACTCAATGATGTTGAAATATCGAAATATCCATTTACATTTGTGATCATCTTACCACTATCCATACCATCGTCTTTCAACCAACCAGCATTCTCCATCAATGACCATTGGTTGGGGCTTTATGAAACGTAATTCTTCATGTGACTTGTTAAACCAACATTCATTGCACGATCAATTTC